ACGTTTGAGACAAATGAACAACAAGCACACCCATAACAAAATCTTTGATTGAAAGGCAACACAATGAGGGTTTATGCAAACCCAATCTAATATGTTCTGGCACTAATATTGTCTGTTATGGGCTATTGCTGCAGCCTTACATTTACATCCAATTAAAAATCAGATAAAAAAAAAAATCAGCTGCCCCCAGCCACATAAAAACAGTAGCATCTAATCTTTGTAGTCTCCCCCTCTGTCCACATCCCCTGTAGGTTTCACCTTCTTTGTAGGGAGAATTGCATTGAATGCAACAGGAGATTAGAGAAAATGTGTTCCAGTTTACCACACCTGTTGACAAAAAAAGAGACGGGTTCATATGTAAAGCATGTTCAGATTTTATTTATTTTTTATATGAAATGTTCTGGTAGCAGCGTTTCCTCAGTATTCATTTTAGTAGTGTTGTGCCACCACAGCAAGAAAAATGTGAAATTAAAAGAAACACTTATTGTCTAAAACAAAGCATTAGTCTATTGTAGATTATTATATTATGATTATTAAAATAATTTTTGCACTAGAACCTCGACTTTAATCAGAACTTAGGCCCAAACATGGACGGAGGACAAATGAGGAATCCTCACTCAAAAGCACCACCGCTGCACAAAAAGTTAAGAGGAAACAGTCGTAAACTGGTATAGAAAAGAATAAATTAGGCGACATCTATGCATTTACATCTATTAGGTGCCATTTTACCCATGCATTTACATTTTAATAATGGCAAGTGATCACTCCAGGGCCATCTACTACTGTGTTGTTCTGCTGGCATCTGTGGGACACTCAGTGAGACAGATTGACAAGCTCAAAGTTCAAAACGCTTTGCTCTGCCCTTGCTGCAATGTAAAAAGCCGCAATATGACTTATACACTTCGATTTACACAGTTATCTCGGGAAAATATTCTTACCGTTGTCTCTATACGAGCTGGCATCTTGCCGACAACATCTCATTTTGAGTTTGACATATCGTGTGGTTCTGTGTGATTTGGAAAACTTCAAGTTACGCCCCCTTCAAGTTACGCCCACTTCAAGTTACGCCCACTTCAAGTTATGCCCACTTCCTGTTACGCCCTCTCTTGCAGTCCGCAGACAGACCCAGTCAATGGCGGGGAAGCGGTGTCTCATAAATTATGGAAATTTCCATCAATGGGGGGAAAAGAGTTAAAATCGTACCATGGATGTCATTAAATATTTCTGCTCACGCTCAGACTTAATGGAGGATGTTTGTGTAAGTCTCCTGCTTCCAAGAAGAAAGTATCAGATTTATCCAAGTCCAAATGATCTCAGCTCTGCTAGTTTAATTTACATCTCCAAAATTGTCTAAATTGCTTCTATTTTTAGTTAATACTTAAATGAGTTAAATTCCAAAGTATACTTCAGTTTTGACGCAAATGCATAGTGTAGCTATGCGTGCAGCAAAACGAATAGTCTTTTAAAGTAGACTCCAATTATGAGCAATACAAATGTCTGTGTACTCTTTTAAACTACATTTGCAGGTATTCTGCAACCCCCTCACACAAGCTCTCGTCAACCTGGCCGTCTATTGTTGTTGCGGTTTTCTTTCTTTCGACTGTGAAACAACAAGCTGGGCTAGTGATGCCACCCTTTGGACCAACCAATAGAGCGGTGCAGGGATGATGTGTTTTTGTCGGCCAAAACCCAGAAACAAGATCACATTTTAGCCCTTCCGGTTCCATCGTCCTGAAGTCAATGGATTTTTGGTTAAATGTCTAGGTTAGATGTTAAATTCTATGACATAATGCATTGGTAATAGAGTGCAGTAGTGAAATCAAAAGCTGGGAAGACTTATTCACCAGTGGTTCCCTTGAGATTTTCCTATGGGTTTTTATGATAGGGTTTTTCCAATTTATAAAATTAAAATACGGTTTGTATACATAACTCAAAGATACTTGGACATTTTGTTCTATAATGTAAACTGGACACACTCACACCCCAAATGTTTTTATTTGGTTACTTATTAGAAACTTAAAAAAAAAAAAACATAGCTTCAAAATGTGTAATGTACGTTGTAGAGCAACGTTTATGTTTTTATGCTGATGATGAAATTTATATCTGTATGTATAACCTAGCGAATGTGCAAAACTTAAAGTATATTTTGAGCTTAATGAGACATGCATTAAGTGTCCTGAGCTTTAAAATAGCAACCTCTGAGCAATAAAATTACCCTCTGAGCACAATGAGAATAATAAAGAGGAAGTGAGGGTGACAGATGCTGATAAGCAAATAAATACTGTTTGGTCAGTTTGGCTTTCGCCTGTTTAGATATCAGCTTAGCAGCAGCATCCTGGAGATAAGAGGGGAGAAAGAGGCACATATGAACATCTTAGTGTGAAGCAGGTTTGGTCCACTCTCGGTCAAGCCACTCAAGGGATTCCAGGAAACCTCACTGGCTGCCTTCTCCCTTCATTATCATCTATGTGAGGAGTGCACATGCATAATCATCCATGTGCTGCACTCACACGTCAAAGTCAACTCAAACAGCCATGGAGCAAGACAAAGCCCCACTTAAAGCCCAGATCTGAAGCTCAGAGAAACTCTAGAGGAGGTACATTTGAGATAACTTCAATTTAAAAAATTGAAAAGCTGGAGACTCCATTTACGCGCCCTATATTTTATCTCAGTAATTTCCAGTTTCACTCAGAAATGCATCACATTATGTAAGTAAAATGGTCTGCAAATGCAATTTTATGCTGACTCTGCTACTCGCTTTTAGGTTGCAAAGGCAGGATTTGTAAAAATAACTCGAGAGTGACATATGGGTGGAAGCAGAAATGGACTGGCAGATGCATTTAAAGTGTGTCCATCCATTTAAAAATGTAGTAGCAACTGTGTTAATGGGTTTCTTTCAACGACCGAATTTGGTGTCCTTGGACTGTCTTCATATGGCTCATCTGAGCTGCATGTGTGTTTATAGAGATTAACCGAAGGGCAGCTTGTTTGTTTTTTTCTAAATAGGGTAAGGTTGAGGTTACAGTGTGAATGTGCCCGGGCATCTGTCCCGCAGATGCAACCAGATACAGATCTGGAGGGAAGTCATTTAAAACGACCGTTTGCACAGCAGAGAGGCGGAGCAATCCTGAAAAGCAGGACCAGAGAGGAGCACACACACACACACAAATAATCAAAGACAAACAAATTCCACAGAGCCATTTACATATTTGTTCAAGTACTACTGATGAACAGTCATGGGCACATGCAAATATTCTTTGATGGGTCATTACACTCCTTTGATTTTAGTGTTTGGTCAAATGGTGCAGCAGATTTGGCAGTTTGTTGTTCTACATCAGGCTGTGGTGAGAGGGGCGGACAACAAGGCACACACACACACACATACACACATACGGCATTGCTGTGCTTCACTACCCCTTTCCCTGTTCATCTATAGGTGTCCATCTTTTTTTGCATGTAAAAGCAACAACATTGTCAGTCAAAGGCAGGTGGGTGGCGTCTAGACAGAATGGAGGGAGGAGTGAATGCAAATAATCTGGAGCCAACAGACACTTTTGGTGCTCTGATAATTAAAGCATTTGTATGACAACAGACGCCCCAATTACCATAAAACCTTGGGCCTGTGGTTTAGAAACAAACTCTACTATATTATGAATTGTGACAGATTTTTTTTCATGCTTGGCTGTTTGTTCTTAGAAATATTGAAACTGTATAAATCTCTCTATATTTAAGAACTAAAAGATGTGGTTGCCAGAACTTATTTTAAAAGAACAGAACAGAAATTAAATAAATAAATGTTTCAGGAATTAAAAGATTGTGTTTTGATAACTTTATATTTTACAGTCAATAACTGTATGAATCTTTGATATAATTTGCCATCAAAAATCGTATTGAATTTTAAAAATGTAGTTATAACCACCATAATAACACACTTATTCTGCTAGGTATATATTATATGTTCTAAATATACTTTTCACAATATATATACTGTGCATATTCGGAGAACTTTGTAGAATGTTTATACCAAAAGTGATTCATATCAAAACAGCATTGTACAGTTTCCTCACACTACATTTTACATTTACATTTATGCATTTTACATACATTGCATTTCAAGGTACACATTTACATTCTTATCAGTTCTTGCTTTCCCTGGGAATCGAACCCGTGACTGTTCAAAGCGGCAACACTCTACTGTTTGAGCTACAGGAAAGCTAAAACACTACAGCACAACATTTTGGGGAAAAAATAGCATTAAATTAAAAACAAACAAACGAGCTAGCAAGTTAGTAGTGTTGCTACGTTTAGTTAGTTGCTCCGCGGGAAGGAAATTGAAGGAAAGATTGATGGAACAAGGCAGAGAGGCTGTTGGTGAGATAAATAAATGGAAAGAATGAGAGATGGAGGGATCTGATATGAATTAGAGCGTGGTGTTGGTACAGAGGAGCATTGTGGGTACCCAGCTGCACCCTGGCTGTGGTTCAGACACAGAGAGAGAGGAGAACCCTCTCTCAAGAAGCACAACTCACAAACAGGGACTGTGTTCCTCCTCATACCCCCTCACAGTCCCCATTTACCCCTTTCAGTGACTGCTGCCCTCTCTTTTCTTCATTCCTCGCACACAAACCGACATCCTTCCTTTATATGTCTTCTATTAGAAACATACAGACATTGTCAGTAATGAAAAATGGGCTTGTGTTGCTACAATGGTCCAAACACCATGTGGTATTATAGATGTGTTCGAATTCTCTGTCTTTGTTTGCCCAACACCGATAATTGCCTCCTTAAAAGTTAGTGCAGCTTTACAATCAACCGCTTTTAATGAGCTTTCTACCACCTTCAGGAAGACATAAATCATAAACGTATGAACCAGCCATCTTCAATACTTTTCACTGGCAAAGCTAAAAGAGTGTCCTAGTGAGATTTGCAGAGTTACTTTTTTTCAAAGAATAATCTTAATTTCAACACACCATATTTAAAAACTGTTGTGGTTGTTTTAGGTGGCGAAGGATGTGTCCATCCGTGTGCACAATGAGCTGGACACTGTGGAGAAGAAGAGATCTCGCCTGGAGCAGGAGAACGAGGAGCTGAGGGTGAAACTACAGGATCTGGAGGTGGCCAAGCAGGTCCTGCAAGCTGAGATGGAGAAGGCCAGAGAGGTGAGGAAAACTGCTGTTATGCAATATGAAACCAATGAAAGCTACTTCTAGGGTGGTCTTGGTGGTTACCAGGGCATTGCTTCGTGGATGCTAAAGTTCATCTTCAGGTTGTTCGTGTCGCTGTGTGGTATTGGGCATTGCTAGGTGGCTACTTACTGGCTCAAATGAAAAGATTTGACCATGTTTTTTTCATGGTCAGCATGCAAAATCCGTAAGTTTGATGACATAGAAGTGTAAAAGCACACTTTTTCATCAACAAACCGAAGGATTTGAGGTATCATTCATCATAAAAACAAAGATGCATGCCTTAGAATAACTAATAATAATAACCACAATAAACCATTTTTTACCATCAAATAATATACAGTAGGACTGCACGATATATTGGCCACCATATCGGTATTGGCCGATATAGTATGTTCATTTTGAATGTTAGCGTAATCGGCCGATAAATAATGGATTATTTCCTTCAGCTGAGACACTTCAGATGTGTACTGTTCGCCATGATGGTTTTGAATTGCTTGAAATATGATTGGAATCACTTCAAAAAAAGGAAAATACTTTTTTAATTGCAACATGTACAGTGCAAGTCTGTCATATATGCTACCTAAAATAATAATGAGAACATAATTGTGTGCTTGGGACATGGATTTAATAGTGAGACTTTTGTTTTTGTAGTCAGGCTCTCAAAAATTATATAAAAACTTGGATTTAGATTTATCGGCCAATATATCGGTTATCAGCTTTCAAATATAAAGAATTATCGGTTATCGGCTTTCAAATATAAAGAATTATCGGTTAACGGCTTTCAAAAATAAAGAATTATCGGTTATCGGCTTTCAAATATAAAGAATTATCGGTTATCGCTATCAGGCCAGCCAAAATGTTTTGATATTGGTGCATCCCCTAATATACAGTAGTTCACAAGTCACATATTGGAGTTGGATTTGGAACTGTCAATTTTTGGCCATTTTAGCTTATTAGTGTGAGATTAGTAGGAAGTTGCTAGTAATTGGGGATAAATGGGATCATTAATTAGTTTCAGATTTTCAGAAAAGGCTTTATTAGGAGCTCCTGGGAAGCTTTTAGAAAGGAAAAGTGTTTATGTTGTACTTGATTTGGCTTGGGGCAGAACTCTTGATGTTGACACTTTCGTTTAACTTGAGGCGCAGTGCTCCGCTGTATTTAAAGCTCTATGTGTGTTACGACAGGAGCTGAGAGCCCTTCGCTCGTACTGATCTGTTGACTTTCTCTGTGTAAATGTCAGCTCGGGTGGGTGGGATTGAGGGTGGAAGGGGAGCACATGAATTTAGCATTAGATTTTCTCTACTGACAGTTTAACGAGGAGGAACATAAAGCATGCTCCTTGTGTTTGGTTAATTCTCTATTTTGGCCTGCATTCTTTTGGTAATAAATGTTTCTTTGTCTTCTGGGTAATAGATGGTTGGCTGGATGGCCTGCGTTGGCTCAATGGTTGGTCTGTGCTCTATTAGCTATGTCTGACAGAAAGTGATGAAAGCATTATTGTTTGAAGCAACGGTCATTATTGGTCGGTTCACTCTTTTCTTTGAGAATCATTTTACGGGGTGTTGTATACCACTGTGATAGTCAGTGCCAGTGCTCTGATTTGCTCGGCTGCACCACTATGGGTCGGCCCACAGGTCTGTTCTGCGTTCTTATTGGCTGAAAGCCCAGGGCAGAATGCGTGCCACTCTCTGTTGTTGAGGCCTGAAATCTTAGCTAGCGGGCACTTATGGTACACAGCGAGAGTTCATACTTAACTGAACTTCTAGAGAAGAGCTAGTAAAGCTTTTCTGACAAAAGACCACTCAAAGAATAGGGGAAAACGACAGTTTGCATGTAAAAGAAGATGATCTGATGATCTGGCTGAACACGATATCTCACGCTGACGTACCCTTAGTTAACAGTATAGGATGAAAGAGATGTATTAAGGTTGATTGGACAGCTCTCTGGAATACTTGTTTCTGATTGGTCGGTTGAAAAATATTTTTGTGTAATGACGGCTAAGCTGTATAATGGACCGACTTCCCACAAAGATGTGCTCGTTTTAGGTCTCCTTTATATTTCTGTATAAATAATTAAAAATCGATGCACTTCATCAAGGTCCTGTTGACGATTGATCATGGATCAAACATGGATCAACACCATTTAAGCACACAGATGTCCTTGTGTCTTCCCCAAATGAGTATATTCATGAAAATAATGGCACCCTCTAAAAAACCTGTAACACAAGAGTAAAAACCTGTTTACTGGTCTTACTGACTGACTGACTGTACGATAACTTACGGGGATAAACCGTAAAAGGACATTCCTAGTAGTCTCTGCATGACACATCACATATGATTATATTTTATTTAAATTTACAATTAAAAGTTTATATTATTTTCAATTTTGTTTGGTTGTAATGTGTTTTATGGACAGGCTACTTATGAGTACATTTAAGATATTCAAGGAAGAATGGACAGAAAAGAAACTTGTGAAAATGTGCAATTTGTTTTTCTCAGCCATAATCACGAATCATTTTGTCATTGAAGTGACTTTTGGGCCTGTTGTGTGAGAAAGGCAAGTTTGCATGTGGGCAACGCTGATGTCATCAGATCACCAACAAAGACCTTCTTCCTAACACAAAAACAAACACTCAAAATAAAGGCTTGCTGATTTAAAGTTTTTTTTTTACCTAGATAAAACCCCACCCCCCAAAAAATCCTATTTTTCCTTTCCTACAAACGCTCGTTCTTCCTTTATGGTCTCCATCCCTCTTTCTCAAACTCTCTCTCAATACTTCATTTAACACAGAACGAGTATCGATCGGCACTGCAGCTGCCGTGAAGTCTCACGGGTGATTAGGTTCACATGTTCTCCTGCTGCTGGGAGTGTAAGAGGGTGTGTTTGTGTGTTTATGGCCTTCTGATGGTGGCCTCTACGTGGAGGGGCTGTTTTATAGATGTTTAACAGGCTTCAGTACAGGAAAAACGAGGTTGGGATAAGAGTGAAGTTTTACTACAGCTTTTTCTTTCTCCAAGTACGTATTCAAACCCACTGCTCATGTGTTAGTTTATCATTCAGAGCCAAGTGTGTCTCACAAACAGCATGTATCAATGAGAGCTTGTTTGTTAATTTACAGTTCTTCGCCCTTTCTAGACTGTGCTAGAGGAAACAGTCCTATGAGGATGACTGAATCTTTATTTATATTTTTCAGGAAACTGGTATCTTTGTTTTGCTCTGAGGGGGAAACCCTGAGAAAGGAAGGAAGTGCAGGGTCTGGAGCTGCATTCATGAACTCAGTGTCAGCTCTCTGATGGAAACAAACACTATCTCAGAGATGAACAGTGTCATGCGTCAGGGCTATTTAAACTTTAAAACGCTTGCTTGCTTTGTAGGGACAAGCATGGGAATATTTTGAGGAATTCTGAGCATTCTAGAATATTTAGAGTTTTCCAAGAACTTCCTGAAAGTTTGAGGGATGATGTGGGATTCAGCAGGTGGCCATGTGATTCTGTTCTTCCAGAACTAGAGTAATGAAATGCTGACTCGCAGGGTATTTGACGATTACGAGAACAGTCATAGGTCAGTAAGCATAGCACTGTGAGCTTTTATAAGAATCCGTTTCCAGATAGAAGCGCCTTGTCATTAGAAGACAAATCTATTTACTTTTCAGAAAAGGAATGTGCCTGTAGTACCCTGATGGTATTGAATGTGAATGATCACTATATTACTATGATCACAATGGTATTTACATGGTACTCCAAGGTACTTTGAAGAATACTATGGTACATAAATGGTCCAATAACCCTGGTATGTACCATTATACATTATAGGGCTCGTTTATTGTTGTTATAGTGTTGTATTTCTAACATGCACTTTTGCTCTATTTAATTCAATGCAGTGAATCAGATTCATGAACACACAATACACACAGTCATGATAAAGTGAATGTTGTCAAACCTTTTGTAGATCATTGAAGATAAAAATATTTACAATAACACAAAGAAGGAGAGTTAAATGGAGGCACAATAGCTGCTGGTTGTGATATCTTGAGTCTGTCTGGCAGCTGTGTTTGTTGTGTGTCGCTCTATTGTACGGTCTGACCTGTGTATACAGCAGCATCAAAGCACATGGCATTAGAGGTTTTGACTAGATTTGGAACATGATGGGAACAATAGAGAATAAAAGCAAGTAAGAAGCGCACACATTTACACTCTTGCACAGATTGCACACATGTGGCCTGGATATTTTTTTCTTCTCAAAAACCAAGAGGTACCTTGTGAAACGAGTACTTAAAAGAAGAGTACTTATTATGGAAATAATATACTTTATGAAAATATACTGAATTAAATGTTTTCGGACACTTGTAATTGTAAATAAATGAGAATTCATTATAGTTGACCATATTTTATTTGATCCAAATTCCTAATAAATGAGTACGAGCAATAGTAAAATTGATGATTGCCTTAGCAAACACCAATATTACTTTTTCACCTTCACTGTTCCTACATTAAAGGAAGTCCAACCAAACCCTGGATTAATCTGACATACATCCAGATACAGATACATGTTCTCTCCTCAGGAAACGACAGGTGATTTCATGCTCTAGTAAAAGTCTGCATGAAAAATTAAACATAATACACAAGACACGCAAGACTCAGTTCACATGAACACACACATTCATGGACACAGGCCCAGACTTCACTATACATGTTAGACTGCAGCCATATAAACCATCTAAACAAACCAGCTAAAACAAGTTTTCACATATTTTCTGGCTTGTCATACAAACCTACAGCTTTATGCAAACTAAATGCAAGAGCAGATGTGTGTCTGATATCTTTCTGTGCTTCTCATGTTCACACACAGGACTCAATGGATTGACTGGTCTAACACACACCTATCTATGACTGTTGTTGTTTTTCATTCATCATATCTTCCTCTTTTTCTTTTTGAGCCGTTAAATGGATAAGAGCTATTTTCGAATGTCACAT